GAAATGGTCCACTTCCTTTTTTGACGAAAAATCAACAGGAAGTGCTAAGTTTATAACTTTTTTATTTTTCGAAATATCAAAATACTTTAAATTACTTTTTTTGTTAGGACACTCTCAAGATGCTACGTGCAAATTTTCGTGTGAATCGGACAAAAGCGCATAGATGGAACACCGAACACAACCGCCTAGTTCTGTTCGGCGACATTTCGCGCCCCTCCTAGCCGCGGAAAAAAACATCTCGCGCGCAAGTGGCGCGTGCCCTAATCAAATCGCCGCCCCCGGGCAAAAGGCTTCAGCCCTCCATATACACACACTGGCTCCTGACAACCGTCTTTTTGAATGTGAACAACACGCCTGCCGCCGCCCAGGTCACAGAAACTCTGCCTAGCCATCATAGCGCGCCCTCACGTGCACCTTCCTAGTGCCCGACCTGAATGTGACGCACTGGAAACCAAGAAAGTTCGGTGAAGGTCTAGTTTTCTAAGTTATATTACAACTCTTCATACATATGCTTCTGTATTATGTAAAGATGTGGACTGACAAACAGCCATATTTCTATAAAGGTCCCAGTCTTTTTACATGTCTAGTTTTGATCATTTTCTGCAATGCATCCACAGTCATACCTGGGAGCTGCCAAAAACAGTCTGTGCATCTCTGGTTGTCCAATTGTGTCTGCATTTTTCATACATGATGAAACTGCCTTTTTCGCATTTTCCTCAGAAGTGGTTATAAAAGAAGTGACAGTAGAGGAAATGTGCCCTCACTTCCCTGAGCCTGTGCCCCTCAAACATCCAATCACATCGCTATGGGCAGCCTTAGAAAAGGTAAATCCCTTTCAACATTTTTCTAATTCATATTGAAGTGCATATTCTGGATCTAGCTACACTCAGTCTTACTGAAGTTTCTCCTTACAGATAGATGTACTCCTGAGGTCGAGCGTTCACACCACCAAGTTGCCAGCCATATCAGCCATCGTGCTTTTAAATGACTCTGTTCTGTGGAATGGAAACTTTGGCAAGAAGAACATAAGTGACCCCTCCTCACCTGCACCCAATGAGTACACAGTGTACAGGTGAGATTTACAGTGTGAAAAACAGGTGTGGAAGAGATTAACATAAAATATGACAGATATGGGAAGTGGTGATTTGTCTAAATGCCAAATATTTGGTTATTAATGTTATCAGTCCTAAAAGCTGCTCGGTCAGTCCATGTCCTGTCCATATAAGCAGCTCCATCTGAACAATAATAATTAACACACATGATGTGACCTGCAGTCTAGTTCTTTTGTTGGATATTACATTTGATTTGAGGCTTAGAGTTAGAACTAGGGGTAGAGGGTAGGATTAGATCTTCATTATATTAGATAAACTACATATAGATGATCAATATGACTGAAGCACTCATTAAATTAAGTGCTTAAAACTGATCTCTGCAGTGGCAGTGGGAATGCTATGTTTTATTAAACCAGGAGACATTTGTTTAATCAATCGTAATAATAAAATATATGTACTGCGTTGACTTTAATCACCCCGATTGCAGAATTGCGAGCCTCTCTAAGATCTTCCCCGTGCTGATGCTTTACAAGCTGTGGGAGGACGGCCTGGTGGACTCTCTGGACGACCCTCTGGAAAAGTATGCAGATAACTTCACTATCAAGAACCCGCTCGGGAAAAGCGGGGGGCAAGCATCCTCATCAGTCAGGACCCTCGGCATCCGCACTCCTGCACTCACCCTGCGCAGGATGGCTAGCCAGCTCTCTGGTAACCCCATAATCTGTTTTAATGACATGATGGCCATCTTTGATTAATCTACATCAAAGGAACAAAACATTAAGGTACTGTTGGATCTTTTTCACCAACAGGGGACAGTCTCCATTGTGTTTTTTTTCCTGCTTTGCATCCAAATTGATTGACTTAAGCCCCCGCATTGATGGTGTTTCTTATATTAAGTCCAGTTAGTCCAGTATTTAGTCCAACATTCACTACCAAATTGTCCCTGTTTTCACCACATATTAGAACAAATATTATACTTAATGTAATATTAGACATGTATCCTGTTCTGTCCCTCTCATTATTACATTATTATGCGAAATGATGACCTAGCCAAGAGGCCGCAACAGGAGGCAAGTTGATATAACAATTAAAACATAGATAACTAGTGCTATAAACAAAACTATATTAGACAGAGTTAAAACAACACAATATATAACACAATATATAAAGTTGCATAATAAAATTTCGGGCCTCTGTGTGTAAAACAATTAGGGATCCCATTAGGGATTAATAAATCTTGTACATACCCAACAGGGATCTAAGTACTGCGTTCCTGGGAGGCAAATTCAAAAGCAAGTGCAGTGATCAGAAACTATCGCATGCAATGAATTAGTAAAGGAGGGTAAAGAAATGAGGGGGTGCAGTTTTATTGTCTTTTGCAACTCATTCCAGTCACTGGGAACAGCAAACTAAAAAGATTGACGGCCAAGGGGGTATGAACTTAAGGAAAATGAAATGAATAGTCTTCGTATGTGCGGTACACTGAAAGGGAAATTTTACCTTAACATAGAGAGATTTAATACTTTGCAATTTGGAATTTGCTTTGGTGAGCCCTTCTTGACGTGGCGAGCTCATAACAAAGTTGTTACATTGTGTACAATGTAACAACAACAACAAAAAAAGAGTACCAGCCTAACCG